GCGGTGGGAGGCGCGTCCGCTCGTGAAGCAAACAGCGAGTTGCCCTCAGCCGCCCGGCGTTGTCTGGCGGATCACATCCGAGACAAGGCGCAGTTAGCGAGTGCCTCGTTTCGCTGGCAGTCAAGAGATCATGACACGGAGGATTCAAGGAAAGCACGCCTTCCTACTGAACAGAGAATTAGCTGTCCCGTGGAAAAATACTTAGTTAAAAGCTAGGGCGTGCAGCGTTTCAAGGAAATTCCTGTCTCAGAGTAGCTAACTGGAACTGAAAGATGCAGGAGACGTGCACGTTACAGGCACGGTACGGCCGCCGTCCTGACCGGCGGTGTTGGAGGGACTGTCTTGTGCGGCCCTCCTGGGAAGTCACCCTCGTTAGGTTAGCATGATAATCACCCAGCTGCTGGTCTGCTCTGGGTTTGCAGAGCAGAACCGTCTGGTGTGACTCCCGGCAAATGTTTTTAAGCCTGAATGTTCACTCTAACGAAGTGATCACTGATGAAGCCGTGGAGAGCGTCAGCTGGCTCGCGCTGGGACACGACCTCTCGTTCAGCGGGTGCCAGCAAGGGCTGCGCTGTGAGGGGCTAAGCTTCACAACCCCTAGGCTAGGGGGTTGTCTCAAGGTGGATGTTTCCTGTGGATGCCACAGGTCTTGAGATGGACCCCAGGTCAATTAATTTGTTTTCTGATGTGTTGTCTTCCCTGCAGTTGTCTTGCTGGATTCAAAGGAATCACAAGCAGAGCTGGGCTGGACTGCGCATCCATCAAATGGGGTAAGAGCAAACACAGGACTATCCATTCCTGTACTGGATCCCCGATCTCTCCCTTACCCTTGGTCACCACAGCTTGTGGTGGAGCAGACAAAAAAGTGCTGTGAACTTTGCAGTGCCCTCAGGCTGACTGTGCATGTAGGAAGGGCTTCAGGAGCAGCATACCTGTGGAGGTGTGTGGTGGGGTCAGGGTGCTTGGGACCTTCACAGAGTGTCCGGTGTGCTGGATGTTGGGAGAGCTGCAGTCTCATCTGTGTTGCTAGTCTGAAGAGTTTACCTTTAAGTGTTTAGCAATATTAAAAAGTTGCACAAATGACAACCCTGCTTTCATGGAAATGGTGGAGGGGGCTGGGAAGCCACGATGCATCTCCTTGATTCAGATGTGGGTTGACAGCCTGACACAATAGTGCTGCAGTTGTGTTAATCGGAGCCAGGCACCCAGGGGAGCGAAGTGAGGAAGGGAAGTATTGATTGTTAGCAATACAACAAATGTGGAACACTTCCTCAAAGTGAATTTTACAGTCTCGTAATAAGCAAATAAACACCAATCAATTAAGGCTTTATTTTGTACTTTACAAATACCAGCTTCATCTCTTTGGGGAGTTGTGTGGCTCTCTGAAGAGTGCTATGACTAGGATGGGATCATCAGGAGCTTGGAACAAGTATCCTCACTCTGCCTCGCATAGGATTGTTTGATCTGGTCCTTGCGTTTCTGTGATCAGCCTATATGTATGTGTGTGTGTATGTTTTTTTTTTTTTTTTTTTCAAAAGAGTAAGACAAATCAGAGAAATTCCTTGCTGCTTTGGGTTTGTTTTCCAGATAGGAAGCAAAGCATTTAGAGGGAAGGCAAGTGATAAATCCTGGAGTCATCTGCATTTCCCAGCTGTTAGAGTCTGCAGAAGAAACTCTGTTTTGGGTGTGTTTGGCAATCTTGCATAAGTTTACTCCTGAAAGAATTGTTTTGGGAGATTTCCAGGTCGTCCTTACGGCTGTGAGGCTTGAATCATCATTTCACTAATCAGCATCTCTGCTGGTAATTTGGGGGAAATACCATTCCACTTATAGTCAGGGTATTTGTCCTGTTCCAGCCAAAACTTCTGACAGAGAAGCTGCTGCTTTTCACTAAGATATTTGTCGTTCTTGATGGTGTGCCTGGTCTCACGTGTCCTCAGCCGTCTTTCACTTCTCTGAGTGGCCCAGACCCATCTGGCAGTATGAGCTCCACTGTGTCATAATGCTGTGCAAATGCTCCTTCCCAGGGAAGGAAGATCCATGGCACACATCGGGTGTAACAGGCTGCTTCTGGCTCGTCAGCAGACGATGTCTCTGGCTTAGTGTTAGACCTTGTTTTAGAAGGTGATGTCATTTCCTTCTTTCTGGTTGTATCTTCCTGTATTCACCTCTGCAAAGAGCTTAGCTGTTAGATGGTACTGCAGCACAGCTGTGTTATTACAATTTGTGGTTTTGGTGGATTAAGGACTTCTAGTGTCTATGATATAATGACCTGTAGGTGGAGAGGCTTTTAGTGGTGGTATTTATAGCTCTCTGAGTACTATGAGTTCCTGCTTGGAAGGCTGGTTCTTGCTAAATGGCTGCTCTTGAGACGTTACAGTCCTTTGTGTTCTTTTCACAGTGGGAAGAAATCAGTGGAGTGGATGAGAATTACAAGCCAATACGTACGTACCAAGTCTGCAATGTCATGGAGTCAAACCAGAACAACTGGCTGCAGACAGGCTGGATTGCCAGGCGTGATGGCCAAAGAATCTTTATTGAGCTGAAATTCACCCTGAGGGACTGCAATAGCATCCCTGGTGTGATGGGCACCTGCAAGGAGACTTTCAATCTGTACTATGTTGAGTCTGACTCTGACCTGGGCCATAGTGTCCATGAAAGTAAGCACACAAAAATTGACACCATTGCTGCTGATGAGAGCTTCACACAGGGGGACTTGGGCGAACGTAAGATGAAGTTGAACACAGAGCTAAGGGAGATTGGACACCTGAGCAAGAAAGGCTTCCACCTGGGCTTCCAGGATGTAGGCGCCTGTGTGGCTCTGGTTTCTGTGCGGGTCTATTACAAGATGTGCCTCGCCACAGTGCAGAACCTGGCAGTGTTTCCAGACACCGTGGCAGAAACAGCCTTTGCAACTTTGGTGGAAGTTAAGGGCACTTGTGTCAATCACTCTGAAGTGGACTTGGATAATCCTCCTCGGATGCACTGCAGTGCGGAGGGAGAGTGGCTGGTCCCTATAGGGAAATGCACGTGCAGTCCTGGCTTTGAAGAGAAGGATGAGGGATGCAAAGGTAAAAATGGCCATTAATGTCCTGTTGCAATTTTTGTCTGTTTTAGTTTGTGTTACTACTAGGCTCCTTCTGCCTCCCTGCTGCTGGTTTGGACAAGTGGAATTGCCTTTTGTCATCCCTGTGATTCTGTTAGTTGCAATTTCCTCAGCTAACAGCCCACACTTAATTTGAAGGGTGGCAATTGGGTAAATGGCTGCATTGCTAGTTTTGTCATTCCATAGCACAGCGTTGACTAGGCAGACATGCCAAAGCTCAGAACACTATCAGGCATTTCCCACAGCTTTATCTATAACTGTAAAATTACTCTAGAACATTAATATCCCCGTTGTCGTGCTTTAGACACAACTTAATAATTCAGTGACTTTACAGCTTGCAAGGTTACGTTTAATGACAGCTGTAAAAATGGATATAACCTCTACCTTAGCTGGTATCACTTTAATGAATCTGGTGCTGTGACCATTTCAGTCTTGCTTTCAAATGAAAGCACGAGTCAAGTGTGATAGTAGTGAGAGTGTGCGATACAGGGCTAGCTCGCTTCCTGCAGTCAGCATTTGTAAGCCTTTGAAATAAGAGAGAGTACGTGCTGGGTTAATGCCACCTCCCCAGGCACCCTCTTCCATTCAGATTTTGGTCAATATCTAATCCCAGCTCAGCATGATCTTAAATGTCTCTGCATGGAGTTAGATGTCAGAACGACCTAGCAGCGTTTCTCTGAACGAGCAGAGGCTGCTCTCCATGCAGTACTGGAGAAAGCTCGTGTATCTATCCGTGCCTCTGTACCCCAGGAACAGTCATTATTTCCTACCATGAGCACCAAGTGATTTTTTTTTCTTTTCTGAAAGATATAATTCGTTGTTAACTATTGAACCATGATTAAATAGTTGCATGCTTGGTCAGTGTTGCATTACTGACTTGGTGGTGCGTGGAGGAAGGGGGTCTGTGCGACTGCCCCGTTAGGAGAGCTTTAGAGTGGAGGAAACTTCAGATCACCTCCTCAATGTGTTTGAGGAAAATATATATATTTTTTTTCTTCATGAAATAAGTCATGCCTGAAAACACTTTCTGCTACCTGTGGTCCAAATAATATCTTGGACTTTTGCAAGTAGGCTAGCGTGACTGCAGCAGCTTTAACTGTGCTGTTGTAAATATGTTGTGGTGGGGAAGCATCCTTGTTATCCCTTGGATAGAGAGGGCTTAGGAGATCAATAAAACTGGTCTTTTCTTCGTGGAATTGGTTTGTGTTCCCTTGCTATGCTGCGTATTGGCAATGTGGAGCCTGAAGCTGGTGAGATGGCTGTCACTTCAGGCAGCAGCCAGTCCGTAGGTATAATCCAAATGCGCTCTTAAAACCACAGCTGTTCTCTGGAAGGCCGCACAGGGTGGCAGAAGTTTGACTTGTTAGAAAATCTTTTGAAGGGAAATTAGCTAAGTCCCAACGAGCTACAGTTGCTTTAAGAAGCATTTGCGCGTTACGCAGTGAGCTTTTCCTGAAGAAACAGGTCTGTTTTTAAGGAGCTACTTGAGACTTTACATTTTGAAACTACTGTACCACCTTCTATTACTGTACTAACTATACCACCTTCTTTCAGAAATCTGGAAAACCTTTAGCAGTGCTGTGGGTAGCAGTTATTCACTTAGTGCCCTCTTAAGAAGACCTTATTAAAACTATTGAATGGAAATCTCAGTATTGTTCATTGCTTCAGTGGTTGCATGGCAGCTCGCCATGCTTTCCCCATCTGTTTGGAGTGGGAATTTACATAGTGAGTCCCAGAAGGCTTTTGCTAATGTTTCAGGTTTCTGTGTTTAAATAATTCATTTTCTCTAAGGAAAAATATTTGAAGTAATTTAATGGACATAATTAAGTCCCCCCCCACACACACACACAGAAAGCAGGTCATTAGTCACTCTGTGGAGCAGTGTCTCATGTCTGGTCAAATATCAGAAAATAGCTTTGAAGAGTTGAAAAAAAAATTTTTTAAACCCTCACATTAGCATAACACTAAGTGAATAACTTTAAAAGATTTCTGAGGAAAGTATCCAAGGCTGCAAAAAGTCTTCAACAAGGACAAAAGCCCTTGATTTGGAGGCAGATATGTGGTAGGTTTTTGAGGATGACACAAGAAATCTGACTCTAGTGCTGTGGTCCTGTGACTGATGCTTAGAAAAGCTCAGCTGAGCGTGAAACTCTGCCCGATCCTCCCTGTCTGTGAAGCTTTGTGATCGTAGTCCCTGACTGCAAGCCTTGTGGCCGTTAGAGAGCGGGAGATGCTGGCACCCACGAGAGCGATAGCTGCGCCGCCACTGCAACCCATGGCTTTGCCCCGACCGGCTGGCGGCTCCCGGGGCTGGAGGGTCTCCGCCTCCGTGGCCGAGCCGCCGCAGCCTGTTCCGCTTCTCCGAGAACCCGGGTGAAGGTGTCGGCCTGTGCAGTGCTGCTGCTGAGCTGCTCTGCCAGAGCCTCCCTCTGCTCCTGCCTGTTCCCCCGCGAGCCAGCCTCCACGAGCCTTCCCAGGCTGTGCTGCTCCTCTGTCTCCCGGCTCCCTCCCTGGCCTTGTCTGAGGCTGCAGTGGATGCTGAGGGTGGATTGCTCCAGAGCAGGGTTTGTCTCCAGGTGTCACTGCCTGTCGTGGTGTTGTCTGATCGCTCCCTGCCTCTGAGCAGGGCCTGCCTTTGAGATGGTGACAGCTGTGTAACCCAAATCTTAATGGGTTTCTTTCTGCTCTCTGCAAGATGACCCTTTTTACTGGCAGCTAGAGGCACCTGTTTACTCCTGCCTTCCTTGCAGTTTGTGTTCAAGGACCGCTTTCGGTGAGAGTGGAATAAATGGTTTGCTGTCTGGGCTTATCCAGCACAATGGGGCATCTTGAACGCTCCTGGGTTGTAGCTCAGACTCTGCTTCATAGCTCCAAGCCCCCTTTCTTATCCTTTGATCTTCTGCTTGCCATCTTTTTGGCTGCACTTGCAGCATGGGATGTGCTGGTGTCTGAAATAAGTAGCATATTTGCTCCGTCAGCTGCCTGGGTGGGTCGCTGTGTGTTGAGGGTGCTCTCCAGGGTTTGGCCGTGGGTTGAGGCAGGGGAAGCACCGGGCTGGGGCCAGACTCTTGGGAGTTCAGTGTGACCAGGAGATCTTTTGCCCCTTGACCCCAGGAATCAGAAGATGCTACCACTCAGATAAGGGCCAGCCTTAGGTGTGGGCTCAGAGGCAGAGGTTATTGCGATGAGGTGTTTATTGAGGTTCCCCTAAATGTACGTTGCCTGTGGAGGGTGGAGTGTCTTCAGTACATGCACCCATTGGCATTCATCCTCCCGTGCAGCCTGCCTCCTGAGATAAAACATAGTTTTCTCATGTGTGCCTTCCAGATGTGGAAGGCTGCTGAGCTGCTGACACCTTCCACCAAATCAGTATTTCATTTGGAAAAATATTTTGCCACATTCTTAAACATTCAATAAGAGTGAAGAACTGATGATGTTATATTTTGGCTTGGTAACTTTGCACGATTGACTCTTGCTTAGAGCTAAGTGCATGGTGCGGTTTGTTAGTTCTAAATCAAGGGGAAATCAAATGGCAGAAATGAAAAAGAAAAGTTTTACCAGGTCATTTCATGGCCAGAGACTATCATTTGTGGTTCTGCTCCAAAGCCACAAAGCTTGCATGCTGATGCCCCCCTCTGCAAGGATAAGCTACTGCCCCTTGCAGAAGGTCACGTTAACCAGATAAAGCAAGCATTTCAGGCCGTTGGACAATTTGTATCCGTGCCTAACTGATCAAAGCCGTGTTGCTGTTGGATGCTTTTATAAATGAGCATCGCTGCTGGAGTCCTTGGCGTAATGAAGGAGATGGGGATCAGGGTTTGAGATGAGGTTAGCTGACAGGGTGTAGTGCTTGATTTCTGAGCTGTGGTGGAGGAAGCAGAGCTTAAGCACAAAGTAGAGGAAACGCAAGTCTTTTCTGTAAAAGGAGTTAGCATTATTTCTTCCTGAACTTGTGAATCCAGGTTTGAATTAAATCACATAGCTAGCACCCTCACAATAGTGATTTAAGTGTTGAAATCATCCTGCTACTGTGAGAGTGTTTGTGTCCTCGCACTGAAATTAGGAGAGATGGAAAAAAGACTAATAGGATTTACGGCATTGTTAACTACTGCTCCAGTAAAGCCAAACCTTTTTACTGTCCATCTTTCTAAATAGCATCATTTCTCTGAAGGAATCCCAGTGTACCTGACAGGCGTTCATGGGTTTGCGCTTTTCTGATGAATCATTTCACCAGTCATTGAAATGCAGCCATCTCCAGGGTGGAACTGAACAGCTTTAGCATCTGTTTAACATCTTCTCCCAAATAAGAGGATAGGTTTTGTCATTGTAAATGCATTTACACTCCTTTTCTTTCTAATGTGTACCTATAGCCATATGCTGGTTTGTGCTTACTATGATCTTAAAACCTATTTCAGCAGATGCATAGTGGGCAAGTGAAAGGTCCTGTTGCACTGTGGATGATCATCTGTCCATTCTTATTTTATTTTCAATGGGCTTCTCAGCGTTGATGTTCTTTTACTCTTAATTTTACGAGACATGAGCTGTGGCCCCTTCATGCCATTTACTTTGCAGTGTATTGCAATAGCTTCTGTGTAAATGAAACCCCAATGTGGAGGATCTGCCTGACATTTGCTGTAAAGTTGTCTCTTTCTGCTTCATCTTCTCCATCCAATCCCTTGTAATATCTGCAAGGAGAATTTCAACAAAGCCCAAGGTTAATATTTACCAGCCAGATCTGTTGCAAATGAGACAACTTCAACCAGACGTTGAATTAATATGATGGAGACCATTTCCAAAAATAGCTGTCAGCCACTTTTGTTTGACAGAAACGTAAATTTGTGCTGTAGCTAAGTTTCCTTTTCAATTTATTTCCCTCTGGTTTTGACAGCAGAGGTGGGAGCTGGCTCCGCATTACGGTTCTGTTGGGCTGTGCTGGGGCTGAGGTGATACCTGCTCGCTGGGCTG